TTAAAAATTAGAACAAAAAAGAGAAAAGAGCAAACCTCCAGTAAAGATGTCGAAGTTGGAACATCACTAAAAGTGCAATGATTTCAAGATTGGGGTAGAAGGTGTTTTACTTTCTACTGAAAATATTTTCTAGACATTTAAAGCAATGTTTGAATTAGCCCTGTTGAGTCTATAGAGGAGATGAAAGGCCATCTTTTGCAGGAATTTGAGAGTTCTCAGAGCACTGCTGTAATGTGCTAATGTGTAATGTCCCAGTGCTAATGCTTGAACTTCTCGAGGAGAGTAATAGGTTTGTCTGTACCCTGTGCCTTCAGGTGAGGCACTGGAACTGAAGTGAAGCAGGACTGCTTGCCCAAGCTAGCAGCACCAGTGGGAAGATGTCTGTGGCTGAGGGCCCAGGAATGGCACCTCAGATCAATGGGCTGGGGCAGGCTTTGAAGAAGCTGCCCTCAGTGACTGAAAAGCAGACATGCTTCCATGTGAATTGCCTAACATGGGATAGGAGCAGAGTGACCAGCTGGGCTGCCCCAGCTCTAGCCCTTCTGAAGTGCTGCGCTCAGACCAAGCCACTGGTCTAGAACTGATGGAGGGGAGGCCCTGGCAGAGGGATCCACCCGGTGCATCTCATTTGGCCGCCTCCAGCTGTGTTGGTGCAGCTGGGCACGTGCTGCTTCCTGCTTTGGCTGCCCAGGCAGAGCACATGGAGCAGCAGGGCCAAGCTCCCAGAGCTGCACTTGCAGCTCCAGCCACAAGTGTCATCAATGTCTGAGAAGTCCAGATCAAGAGTACCTCAGTGGTGGCAGTGAATATTTCTTGTCCCTCACAATAATCATGTGTCCATCCTCTCCCTCACTGCTCCTTTCCCAAGTGCTGCCAAAGGCAGTTCCATGCTGTCATCCACGTTTGACTACTGGGACCCAGTGATGTGCCATCACTGGACTGCAGGTTGCACTTGAATCCCTAGTGCACAAAGCTGGAATTGAATGAGTATGAAACTGCAACTGAGTGACTTATTGGGTCCTTATCCATGTCTCATGGAGAGAGCTGTGATCAAGCTCCAGGCACACTTACAGGAATAATTTTTTTCATGCTGGAAATATAAAGCCAGCTGTTTCCATCATGGTCTTATACTTCTGCTGTCCATTTTTTGTCAAAGTTAAGATATGTAGATATATGAAGAAATTAAATCATAAAAAAACTTGCATTATTCAAAATAGCAATTTAAATTTTGTCTTGCTTTTCTTGAATGATATGATTGATATTCTTGCTTGCTTTGTCTGAATCATTTACTGGTTAGCTGTCTAACCATGCTGTGATAAGAATACCAGAACGGTATGTATATTGACTTCCCATCCCTGGGCACTTTTGGCCTTGTCCTCCTTGGAAGTTGTTGAAAATAGTGACACCACCTATTGGTAAAACAGTACAACAAGGAATGATGCTCATGAACATACTAAGAATAGCAAAATGGAGGAGACCTTGAAATGTACTCCAGATTGTATTGCAATTTAAGGTGGTTTTTTTTTAAACAATCTAGTTTCTATGTCATATGCTTGTGCATGACATGTCCGTGAGTTCAAATAAGCAAAGAAAGACAAAAACTTCAACCAACAAATGTAAAAGCCCACTTCAACCTACTCTTTCTAAAATAATAGTACAAAGACAATCTTCCTGGTCATTCTGAATGGTCAGTGCTATTGCTTCTTTTAATGTTTTTTAAATGAAAAAAAAAAAAATTGTCCACCCTTACAAATGCTATTTAGAAGATGTTAAAGGCGTTGAGACCTAAATTATTTCCTTCTCGGTTGCAAAATAACTGGAGCTAACTTCTTTTTCTTTCTTTTCTTATTCCCATTCTTTATTTTTAACAAATGTTATCAATTCTCTCAAATGAATGCTTTGTCTGTGGCAGATTAATCAGTGTTTGAAAGGCAGTCTACTGGTGGCAGCAGTTGAAGTTGCGGTGTTCTCAGAAGGAGGACTTGCATTAGTCTCAAGTGGTTTTGGGGGGGTGCATTGTGATTAATGGTCTCTGGCAATTCACCTTGGGTGTGATAGTCACTAATGTTTACATCAGTAGACAGAACAAAAATGACTTAGTTACATATCATGAGGCCTCTGTGATGACAGAGATGGTCAATATTTAGAATTTGTTTTAAAAACAACCTATTTCTACTCCTGCTTTGTGTGATGATCTTGACAAAAAGATAATTGTAGTGGTTCCTGTTTGGTATCTCTGCTTTTTATTTTTATCTTGGGGTGATAACTGATAGCTGAAGAGTGTTATTCACAGGAACTGGGTATAGAAATGCCATGTTTCACTGAAGATGTATTGCAGTACTGTCTTCACTGTTGTCATGACTGGCTGAGCAACTGGAATGGAGCGCAGCAACAGCTGGGAAGCGTGAGGAAAGCTTTGTAGGGATAAATAGGTGCTCTTACTGCAGCTTCTGTTCATAACCCAGCTCTCTATCCTACAAGTTGGGGACTAGAAGTGCTGTCTGTGGATGTCCCCAGAGCACGTTGGTGGTTTGCTGTGAATGCTGTGCTGAGGAGCTCCCATGCTGTGAGAAGAGGGTGTAACCCTACCAGGGAGGAGGCTGTGCTCAGGGGCAGAGCTGTGCATGCAAGACAGACCAGACTGTTGTGAAGCACAGCAGTCCTGTAACTCCAAGGGGAAACTAGAGATGAGTAGAAAAGAACCTTCCAGATGAGCTGAGGAATGGAGTAAAACCTTGGTGAGAACTGTGTGGGAAAAGCCTTCCTAGTAGTAAAACGAGTGTCTGACAGGGTTCCAATGAGATGAATAGTCTTACTGTTATGGTGAAGTTTTTGGACAGCATAATACTTGAGTAAAATACATAATTGCAGGCAAAAAGTATTTGGCTTTGAGGTTTTTTCCAACGTGCCACATGTCCAAATTCATAGCCATTGATTGAGATGTTAGCATTTGTAACAAAAATAATAGCATTTTAACTTCTATTGAACACATACTCAGATTGTTCTGCACTATAAAAGTGTGTCAAGTTGCTTTCAGCAAGAAAAGCAAGAAGTGGAACGTAAAATATTTCAATCAAAAATATCAGAAAATGCGTATAGAATACTGTGGCACTTTTTCAGCCTTTATCAGCATAGGCAGAGGAAGGATGGTGAGTGGAAATGCTGGTGTGATTCTGTGACTCCTAGCACTTACAGGGTCATGGCCAAAGAAAAGCAAAGCATGAGGATAAATCTTATTATGTTTGCCACTGTTATTATAGTTCAACTTCTTGGCTACCAATGAAGTTATTAATTCCCTCTTATTCCTGTACATCCTTTTCCTTAAATAAGCATAGATCAAAACTGTCTGTGTGCTTCTGGCATTCTCATGTGAATGTAGGCACGAGGGCTCTCAAATAGCGGAGAGCTGATTCTGTGACTGGAATGTGTTTGCTTACTGCCCGTGTGGGTGGCAAAGTGTCCATGAATGTTTTAGCACAGTCTAGCTTGCTCGTGGTTTCAGTACAAGATTTACCACTGATCCGTCAGTCCAGCAGTGACATGGAGGATTTAACATTTAAAGGTGAAAACCACTTTTGGATGTACTCAATACTGGGCAACCCAAGGACAAGTTGCTGCTAAATATGACTGAGCTGTTAGATTAACAACTTTAGGCAGAGATTGACACTGGGAGAAGATGCTGGATGCTGCTGGTGAACATCCTGGCAGAGCTCTGTGTTGGCTTCTCTCAGTTTAAGAGCTTTACTGTAGTGAGTGGTGGAAGTCTACTGTTGCGAGCAATAATTATCATCTTACAAGGTGTATAACTACAAATTTTGTCTCCAGTGTATTCAAAGGCTAAGTAGATGCTTCATGTAGTTCCATTTCCTCTGTAGCTCAGCTGTGTCTTTACCTGTACCATGGCCTGACACTTCAGCATTGCAGTGCTTGTGTGCTGCACTGTGAGACAAAGCTCAGCCAGCCGAGCCTGTGTTACACTGCTGACATGTCAGTAGGGGTGTGTGTGTGGTATAAAAAATATTGAGGAGTAAAGATTTTGGGAGAGAGATATGGCAGTGTCTGTAACTGAGGAGAGAGCAAAACCTGTCCAGACACTGGAAATGCTGTTGAAACCTTTCAGCCTCTATTTCAGTTGTGTGGTGCACACAAGTAGTTACAGGGGGGGGGAAAGTGCCATCTAATGTGCAGCAGAAGTTAACAATGCTGATGGGAAGTATGTGTATTCCATGGAAGGGGTCATGAGGTGGTCTCAAACTTTAATCACCATTAATTTATCTGCAAAAGGTTCTAATGACCTAAAGTAGCATTTCTGTAAATAGTGTTATATTTCAACTTCATTGCATAACTATTTGTGTATGCTGGAATATGCAGGGTTTCCAGATATCTTCCTTCTCAAATCCCAAGCTTTTTCTTCAAGCATTACAACAATGAGAAAAACGCAAATATAAACTTTGAGCTCTTTGTTTGTAAAAAAAGCCATTTGCGGGACGGGAGTGAATCTTTCCCACCCTGGGTTTCAGGCAGCAGTAGCTTGAGCAGGAAGTGCTGTATTTAAGTGGAACATGACTGAAACATTTTAGTGAAAAATGTATTTTTTTTCATGTCAGTTTGATGCTGCTCAGAGATTTAAGACAGTAGATGGGAAGAGAGTAAGCAAAGGGTACAAAAAGTACTCAAAAGTGCAAGCAGAATATACTTACAGTGCTCTTGTCCATGCCTAAAAATGTGTCTGCCTGGATCCAGAACTTAATATCATTGGAGGATTTGTTCAAAATGTGTAATTTTTCAAAAATGTTTAAGAAATTTGAGGCCATAAGGAATTATTGAAAAATGCCATCACTGTTTGTTAATTATTGCCCCACCATTCAATTTTGACATCACCCAGATCATGGATGCAGTACTAGTTTGATGCCATCATTCTACCTTTTTGCTTGCAAACAGCCACTTAACATGTAGCAGCTTGAAAATACTCATGAGTTATTTGTTTGTTTTCTTCACAGGCTGGAATGGTGTTAAGATGTGGATACTTCTGGTTTGGCTTGTTTCTTGTGCCCACTGCGTGCCTTGTTAAAGACGTGGCATGGACAGCGTAAGTCCCAAATCAACCCTCTTGGTATTGTAGGAATTATTCTCTATGCGGGTGTTGTCCAGTCCAGTATTGTTCTGTAAAGAACTCTGAAGTCTCTCAGTGATTGCATAATGGTGGTACTCATTTGGAAGGGAAAAAAGGTGAAGTAGGTGATTCCCCACCTGCCACAGCACCCACCAGCGTGAGAGAATGAATAGCTGGGATTAAATCTGGAGGAGGTGGCCTTGACTGGTTAATGAAGGTGTGTCACCTTAGGATTATTTGTGTTGTCTATCCTTTGGTTAAAAGCAAATTTAAATTGAACATATGAGTTTTCCTGAAAATGGAGCAAATAATTTGTTGAATCTGACTAAGGTTAGGTAGAAAGTAGAAATGTGGCACTCTAATCCATACCCAGGAAGCTCTCAGCTCTTTGCCGGCTGCTTTTTAGGTTCACCTTCAGCAGCGGGTCTTTGAAGACGGAGCTGTGAGGAGAGCAATACTCTGCACTTTGTTTGAAGTGAAGTCTTAATGGTACCTTCACTGCCCAGAGAGGAGGAACAAACTGGTGAAATACAAGCCCATAATTCCCTTCTCTCAAAATTTTGGGATTTCAAAGCATTGCAGAAGGCAAACAATTTCAAGAACTTGGATTTAAAGGGAAGCAAATTACCTTCTCTGCCGTTGCAATTTGAAATATAGAAGTAATAATTTCAATTTAGAATTTGCAGCATTTTGTTCAGCTTACTTTCACACCAAACCTTCCATCTTTTCCCTTGGAAAGTTGTGTTACAACTAAGAAGGTTTTGTTACATGGATGCATAATAATCTTGTGCAAGGGGGACCCCGGACATTGCAGCTCTGGGGCAAAAAGGCAGAGAATCCTGCCTGGAATGAAGAGGAAATACAGGTTAGCTTGTAACTTGTCAGAAAGGCTTGCAATGAAAGCATCATGACACATTTGCTCCTAGAATGGGAATTGGTCAGTCAGGGAAGATTCTTGGAATCATACAACCATTTAGGCTGGAAAAGACTTGTGAGATCATTGAGTCCAGCTGTAAAACTAACACTGCCAAGTGCACCAATTTGCTTTACAGAAAAATGCAGAAAATACTAAAAAAAACCCAGAAAGTTTCCCAAGCATAGGCGCATTTCAAACACCTTCATGAAAGGTAAGTCGTATGCACAGATCAAAAAATCCAGTTTTATTTCATATGGGGTAGATAGCACAGTGAAATTAAACTGGTAGTAGGCAAATCAGCCACTCAGTAAGTACTTCTTAATTTTGTCCCTCAGCTTAATTTTCACAAGCTAGGCTGCTCAAATTAAATCTAGGTATTGTAATGTGAAATTTCAACTATGATTTAATAGTCCAGCACATCAGAGGTTTGGGTTTTCTTTTTTTTTTTTTTCACTCGTTAAACTTCTGCAATTGCAAATGATTTTAAAATTCTAAAACTGAGGCCAAAATGTTTAAATTTAGATACTGAACTGTGTCTGTGACCTGCTTGTTAAAACTCGGAAAAAAAATCTTTAACTTTTTTAATGTTTTCATGATAGTTGAGTGTCCTGAAGTTGTCCTCTTTTCTTATCAGTTCTTGGCAAAAATGACTCATGAATTGTAAAGCAGGCTAGACCATGGCAGGCTCATCCTCAGCTATTAGTCATTTCAAACTCTGTTACTGACTGAGCCTGTTCTTTAATATTTCTTGAAGAAATCTCAGCAACATAATCCTTTCAGTCATTCAGACTGTGAAGCTCAAGACAAACTTGTATGATTGATAGGCCAGATATTTTCCCAACAGATTTTAAACAGGAGGCTCCTAACAATATTAAGCTAAAAATCACTTCTCTGACCAGGACCTTCTTTTTTTTTTGTTCTTTTTTTTTAAACTAAGCCATCACTGAAAAATTAATGCCATTAACATTTTAACTGGGATAAATGAAATGACACAGCTATCAGTACTGCCATATGGAAGGAGTAAAGGTCTGTTTCCTTTCCAAGAGGCTTGCCGTTTAAAACCGGAGCCTAAGGCCTCTGGAAATCAGCTGGCACATTTCCACAGCAGTGGTTACACCACATTGCTCTCTGTAATTCAGCAGAATATGGTTCTGGCCATAAAATTCCAGCAACTCTGCTCATGGTCATGGAATTGATCCCTTTCAGTTTCTTTTGGACATGAAGCACATGTCCACAGACAGAACATCCGTATGACCCAAAAGGTACATGCCTAATTTCAGTACAAAATACTGCCAGAAAGCCATAAACACAGTACAGAGATTTTGTCTGGAACAAGGTTGATTGGAATGTCTATTTCAGACACATACAAATCTTTTGCTTATAAACTGCTGTGCTGCATCTACTATCAAAATTTCTAATGCTGGAAGCAAGAACATGTTTCCATTGTTACACAGGCTTCAGTTGTCAACGCATCACTTACCTCCCATGTTCTCTGTGGCTCCAGGCTTTTTTTATTTTCTTCTTCATTTTTTTCCTTTTTAAATTAATCAAGGAAATGTGGAAAACTCTTTTTAAAGAGACGGAAGCTTATTATTAATTCTTGGTTGCAATAGTTGTTAACTTTGGTTCACTACCCTGAATTCAGTGCCTTGGTTTGCCTTGTAAAAATCCTAGCTGTGCCACCATTACAATGAACAGAGCTTTGTAAGATGAGTGCTCCCTCACAGTTGGCACGTGTCACTTGAATACATGTCACTGGCTCTAGGAAATCTTGGAATAGCTGACTCACAGAGGTATGTGGGAATCATAAAAACACAGCATGTATTCCAGCAAAATCAGGCAAGAAGGCTAGAATTTATTCCTAATTGGTGTCTCGGTGCTTATTTTACAGTGAAAAATTTCCTGAGCCTTCAAATCATTACCAAAAATTTAATGAACTTTTGTTTTTTTACCATGAGGAAGAAGCAGTTTGCACTTGCCAGTTCTGCAGTGTAAGAGAAGAAGATATGAGGAGCTCTTCCCATCTTTGCATATATTTGCAAATATAAGACTCGTAAAATGGTAGTGAGGGTAAGCCAGAGTAGAGGTAGTATCATGTTTGAGAAACATTTATGAATGTCACCATGCTTCTCCCTGGCAGATTCTGGCCTCCTGAACCCCCTAAATATCCTAGGCCAGTGAAGTGATGCACTTCCCTGGCTTCGAAGCTGAAGGGATACACAAAACACAAAGACAGCCTTTTGCCTGTTCTTACAGTCCCTGATCTTAATATCCCAGTGTGTCAGGGAAAGGTGAGTTTGTTTTTATGTAATGCATCAAATTTTAGCTGAACAGCAACAGCAAACACAAAATCTCATTGTTCATTGAGGACTGATTGTGCATCCAGGGCCACTTGTGAAGTACTAACCTAAAAGCTCAGAATCCTGCCTGTATTTCTGTGCTTCAAAAGTTTGTAAAGTGCTGTAGGGGGAAAGTCATGAAGTAGCCAGTCCTGTTGCCAGCAGTCTGTGGAATATTTGCAGCTGATTTTGATAGGAGCAAGCCCAGACTCTGAGGCAATTGTAATACCATATTTTAGTATACTTGTTTTTTGAAGGAACATGTGGATAGGTTAGCTCAGGCCTTTTTCATATTCTTATATTTATTGATAATACTTGATTACTGACCGTTCCATGAGTGCTCTTACTTCCCAGTGAAGGAGTGACTCAGTGCATAGCAGCTACCAGCCCCAGAAGAGCCCACGTGTTTCATCATTTCACACTACTTACAAAACACTTAATTATCCCCAACTTCAGGCCAACAGTATTTCTTCCATGTTGTATCATATCAGTGTCATGCCTCCTGGTGCTGTGCTGCACCTGGACTTGTTGATCAGGATCCATTCTGTCAAATTTTCAATTCAATATTCACTCTAACGGAAAAGAAAAATATCTCTTACGGCTTATGGCAAGGTAAACACAGAACTTCGGAAGAGATTGAATAACATGTACATTTCTATGTTCTCATCAGTGGGGAAAACTGGTTATGAAGGATTTGAAAAATTCTAAACATGCTCAGTCTTGAAGTTTACAACCATAGGTATGACCTCTTTAAAAGGGAAGAGATGAAGGTCAAAATTTCAAGGTCAAAATTTCAATGTATTTATTTAAATTAAAGAGTGTGATAGTGAATTCAACTGAAAAGATTATAAAAATTAATAGCCTCAAAGCTTTCTCATGTTAATAGCTATATTTTCCCTTCCTCAAAGAGGACACCGGTCTAATCATTAGCCTAACTAGTTATAGCAACTTGAATCTAATTAATTTCTATGCATCTGTTGGTCATCTCACATTGCTGAAGCATTATGCATTTTAAAAATATCCTTGCTACTCATTTCTTTTGACCCAGTATGTTGGTGTTACAATTCATACACCTTTGGTGGTTTGTTTTAACAATATACCATTCTAAGTACGTCCTGATAATCTTTACCTTCAGATTTTGGTGTGCTTCATCTCCTATTTTTTTTTCTCTTAACTGCAGATGTGTTTTGAAAGTAGTTTTCATTTTAGCTTCTCATTTTTAGGTATTTGGAGTGTAATTCAGCAACACAAAGACCAGAGGACTTAGATATCCTAGTATTAGTTTCAAGGCATTGTCATTATAAACAGTGCCAGCAAACATTTTGTGGTCTTTGTTTCTTATTCCCTATGGAAGGAGCAATAGTATCATACTTTTTAAAAATGAATGCGTCTTCATTATTTTTAATTACATACACACCAGTTATTATTTTTCTGTTAGAGGGAGTTGTACATTGTTTTATATTATTGGCTAAAGATTTTAATGTCTGCATGTTTTATAAAACTTGTAAAGAAATTTTTGCCACCTTTGAGCTGAAGATTATTATTTCAATGCTACAAAGCAAGTAGTGTCTCAGCCAACTTGGCTTCATCTTGTTTTTAGGCTTATTGTGCAGTCACATGCAAATCAATATATTCTCGTGGGACACTTGTCCTCCTTTAACTGGCACAAAAGAGGAAGCTGATCAAAAACTGCCCATGTGAGAAAGATCCCTGCGTTTTGTGTTCTTGCTTTGTACAGGTCAAGAAAAAGGGGACTCGATTATCTCCCCTATGTCAATGTAATTTAGGTATAATAGCCCTGGAGCAGTAGGTGAACCTGGGAGGGGAAAGGCCCAAGCCTCTTCATGGGGAACTCTAAATTGCACTCTAAATTTTGACTGCATGTATGGTGCATGGATTACTCTTTGAATCCTCAAGCCAAAAAAAGTAGGAGGACACAGCCAGTCTTGTTACTGTCAGTTTGGAAGTTCATTGAGGAGAGAAGTGCCTTTCCAGTCACATGAGACTGATAAATGAAAATCAAGGGGCTTGAATGGCAATTATTAGCTGAGACTCTGCTCTGGTTTTCAGAGCGGTGCCACGCGTAGCTCAAAAGACAGAGTGGATTCATGTTTTACTGCCATGAATATTCAATGGATCCCAGCTCTTTTGTCTGAGTACCGGGCTCCTGAGCAGTCCCACGGCAGCAGGGTCAGGTCTCTGTGGTCCCATAGCATTGCTGCTTGGCTAGGTTTTGAGTGTTGTGTTGAAGTGGCTGAGCTCTGTTTAATTTGAAGTCGTCCTGATTTCTCATTTCGTATGTATTTTTCCCCAGGTATTTTGAACCTGAACTAACATGCATACACTGTGCTTTATTTCCCAAATATTTCAAGGGAGGACCCTGTGCCTCTCACCTGAGAGGTAAAATTGGGGGTTTGTAGCAAAACAAATGTTCACGTGGCTTTTTTGTTTTGGTTTTTGTCCTTTCCTTGCGGTATAGGGCGAAGCATACCTACCATAAAACTTTGCTGGAGCAAGTTAAGGAGCTGGAAACGAAGACAAGAGAACTGGGAAAAGCCATGCTTCGTGATAGTAATGGAAAGAGGCAAGTCTATGCTAAATGTTTAAAGCAAAACCTTCTCTTCCTCTCCCCTCTCTATTTCTCATTCACCATTAAAATCTGGTTGTAGACAGGCTAATAAGGCTTCTTCTCCTATATTATTCATTTATTGCTGTTCGCTTTCATATGTGTCTGTTCCCTCCCACAGAAACCAGCCCTTCCATTTTCATTTCTCCTGCATTACTGCTGTGAGGCTCATTGGCAACTGCCGCTCAGTCTCCTGCGTGGTCACATGTAGTGCTCTTACCTGGCCACTGAGGCCGACTGTTTTTGAGAGCACTTTGTTATGTCATCCAAAATACAAAACAAAAAGGTAACCATGTCAGGGGAGGGAACTGTCAGCAGCTCAGGATATTAAGACTGTAGCCAAAAGGAGAACTGGCTTAATCCATTGTGCCCTACTACTTTATTCAGTTTCAACGTAAGGGGGTTTTTTTATGCTTTTGCTTTTTTGCCTACAGCTTGCAGGTCTCTCGCCTTCAGGGTTCTCAGTTTCTCGTTGTGCCTCTCCCTTATAACCGCACCATATGGACTTGAATATATTGCTATTATTGAACCTTTCATTGTATAGACAGAGTATGTGTTGTGTGGGAACTTTTGTCTCTTCTGAAAGAAGCTAAAGAAAATAATGGTGAGGCTTTTGCATCCAACAGTTTCATTTACCGTCTCAAAATGTGGTTCTGCATCAGCTGATCGGAAAAGCTCCCCAAGTTCAAAAAGGTTTTAGAACTAACTCTTCTGTTCCTTACACAATATGGCACCACATGACTTGCTAAGAAACTACATGATCATTAAACTGGATTTTAGCAAACCTTATAAACTAGCAAACTGAGTGGAATGGGGCTTTTAAAAGATTTTGTTCTTCTGGGGCAGGGTCATCCTTTGAGCCTTTGATGTCTATTCTAAGGTAAACTAATTGCCATATTTTAGCTGCTGCTAACACAAGCAGATAGTGGATTTTTTTCAACTGAATTTGTGTGTTAATAAGGACTGGTTTTAAGGAAAATTATCAGGCAGTGATTTACTGAGATTATGGTAAACTGAAAAGCTTTTAAAAAAGCTTGTGTGGACTTTAATGTGTTTATAAGATGTCCTTAGGGACCAGAATTTGCTTCTCAGAGGCCAAGACAAAGTAAACACAGTGTTATTGATTAAGATCACTTCAAAACACTTGGTATCTTCAGTTTTTGAGTAATTTTTCTGCTGCAACTTTTGGATCCAGCAAAACAGAGTTTATAAGTTGTGCTCACTAGCAAAAGTCACAAACTGCACATCAAATTATTTAAGAAGAGAAAGCAAACTTTGCAGCAACAAAGGCAACCTTCCATGCCACAATTATAGCCAACAAAGACGCTTAATATCAGGCATTTAATTAAATAATGGGCCTTATTCTTAGAAGGCTGAGCAGTCATTTTGAAGTCAGTTGAAGCCAAAGTGCTTGGTACCAAATCAGGTCAGTCTCCCCAGACAAGAAAGGTGTAACCTGGTGTTGTGAAGTGCTGACTGATAGTGTGATTAGATGCCAGGTAAGTGGAAGCCAGACTAGCAGAAAACTGATTGTTCCCAGGCACATAGCTCTGGTATGAGCTCTATGAGTTGCCTGGGTGTTGCTGTGGTTCCTATCCATGCATTTATGTGAGGTTATATTGGTGCTGGTTCAAAGCATTTGTGTTTTCCTGCCAGTATTTAATGCCAGTTATTTACAGTCAGAGAGGAGCATGAGTCAACTTTGTGCCTGGTGCATCCCTGGGTTGCAGCATGGGTTGAATTGCTGTTAACAGTGAGAGAGAGACAGTCAGCATTTGATCTGTTTATATGTGCATGTCTGTGTCTCCAAGAACTTGATGGGTTTCTTCTCTGTTTACACACTGTCCTGACTTTCTGTAAATTTCATGGCCATGTTGTAATTCATTCATACACTCCATGTTTTCGTAGCCTTTTACTTTATTGCATTCTCACTGCAAACTCTTTCATCTGCATTCCTCCTCCATATAGCTTCACTTCATTCTCGAAACGCTTGCATGGAGATGATGTAAGGAATCCCTTCTGGCCCTCCTTCCCATTTTCCCTCCCCCCTTCTTTCCATGCATTTGTTTGTTCTCATTCCTAATTGCTCCCAGATTTTCTGGGTGGTCCATCTGTGAACTAGATAATGGTAGAGTGCCTCTGCCTGCTTGAAGCTGGTGTGCTGTGCTTGTGTTGTGGCCTCCCCACTCCTCTTCAGAGCTGTTCTGTCTTTTATCTCTTTTGTTTGTCTCATGGCTCTTTCACACCTGCTAGAAATCGTGGGCTTATCCAAAGGGAAGGGTGAGGGTGGGAAAGAAATAGAGTGGGAACTTTCTTCAGTTAGTCTCTCTGGTTCATGTTCCTTATTTTTAAAAAATTTCCTTGAAGCTGCTGGAAACGTGTGCTAAGGTGCATGCTCTGCCTCCCCTCCTGCCCGCAGCCCCATTGCTCTAGGATATTTCTGGCAATGTGACACTATGCAGCAAGCGAAAGTAATGGGTCTCTTCTCATTTCTAGTAGAAAATAGAGAGCTGTGTAAAAACTGCACAAGTCCATCTGTCACCTCAGTCCTTGGCTGGAAGTGTTCCTGAGAATGTGCCCATTAAGTGCTGGTTTGTTCAGGCAGCTGTGGAAGATAAGCTGGCTGTCATCGAGGTCTATTTTCCTGGCCTACATGGCGGACACCGGTTTTGTTCAGTGTTTTTCACAAACAAACAACAAAAAACTCGCACCCAATTACAGATAAGAGCAGAAGTTAGGGAGCTAATTGCTTTTTTTCATTTCCTAGATCTTAGACAAAAAATGAGGTGCAAGATCTGAGTGTTCAGAACTAGTCTGCTATAAAAAAGCAGTTTGCAAAGCCTGGAAAGCAGTGAGTGCATCTAGACTTGCACAACAGGATGCCAATAGTTTGCTGTGACTCAGCTGAATTGCTGTTAAATGTGAGCAGATATCACCAGGGTCCTTGCTGTGCTTGGGAAAGGAGTTCTGGGAGAGCTGTGTGTGCCACTTGATGCCTGTATATGTATATCCTGTCTGAGAGGATCTTCACCCTGACAGCTGTTCTTGCTAGAGACATTATTCTGGGATAATAAAAAATGTCTTCACTAGTGCTCTTCACTAGTTATATCTTTCTGAATCTTAACCTCTTTGAACAGTTTCAAAAATTGAATTTGCTTGTATTGCTCTAAAAAAGCAGTTGCACATTTTTTGCTGTGGCTGGGAATGAACAGCAAGGCAAGTGGTTGATGAGGAACTGTTTGGTCTGTGCAGGGAGTGTCAGCACCCTGGGCACTACAGCTGGGTCCCAGAAACCTTGCAAACAGCATTAGAGTGATGCTTGGAGGTTACAGCAAGTGTATAGTGTTGAGCTGTAACAGGTCATACTCTTATTCCTTTACATGTCTCATCTGGACAGCTGAAAACTTACGTTTGGTAGAGGCTGGGATGATGACAAAGTCAGATAATTCAATAAGCAGGGAATTAATTAATCGGGGTGAACATGTAGCTGGAAAACTGGCAACTCCAGAAATAGCTTGAGAAACAGGAGAGTGAGTGTGCAGGAAGGGGCTGTGATGGATCCCATGCCGTGCTTGCCTGCCTGTGGAAGATGAGTACCCACACTTGCCCTCCCCAGCCTGGGCACCTGGCAGTGCTGGGCTGGACTGCAGCCCAGCTGTGACATGAGCACACCTTGGTTAGGAAGAGAGAGCAGCTCCCTGGCACTCTCATGTAACAAAAGGCAGGATTTAACACTAAATTTTCATTAATTTGGAGAGGTGAGAGGGGCAGCTCATGTGCCAAAGCAAACATGGACATGAGGAGACACCTGCCCAGCAGATTTAATCATGTTAACATGTAAAGATTTACACAAAGAAAACAAACAAGGTTTGTGTTCAAAAGCAGCATTGAGTTCAGCTGCAGAGATTTTTGTGTCTTTAAATAAGTTTACAACTTAAACCTTGGCTCGTAAAGGGCCAAACCTTCAAGTCCTCATTCATTTTTCACTCCATCTACCCTCTCATTGAAGTCAGCAAGAGTTCAGGTGGAGTAAAGCCTGATTAGGCACCAAAGCAAACTTTGCTTTGGAAACCCATGTCACTTTATTGCTCCACTGGCCAACTATTGGAGAATGAGCAAAGCTGTGCAGCACCCTCTTTGCGACAGTAGATTTCCTGTTCCAGAGGGTTTCTCTGTCTTGGAATTGCCAGAGAGCTCCCTTTGAAAGGCTTTTTGGTTGTTTTTCTGTCCTGTTATTAATTGGTTGGTGGGCAGGATTAGATTGTTTGATATTGAAGAACAATGTGGCTTTCATGATTTGCATACTTTAGAAGGAGCTGAAGGACCTCTCTGGGCTGTTGCAGAAAGTGCCCACATTGCTGAAGTATTGGAAGAAGGTCTTCAAATGAGTCAGAAATCTGGGAGATAGAGCCTTGACTTGAACAAAGGTAAAGGGAAGTGACTACAGAGCCAGCAAGGTATAGCTGCAGTATGTGTTTGCACAGCATTTTTCTGTATGCCCCTTTACTCTTGCTGGTCTCAGACATCCACTGGTGACGGCTGTGGTGCCGCTTTCATCTCCGTATCATAAAACAAATACTTTTTTCCAGTGCACCTAAAACAGCAGCTCCCCACAGTGTCTCCGTTGTCTGTCTTCAACAAGGAGACATGCTGGTGTAGATTCTCTTTCATTTTAGTGCTTCTCACCGAATCTAACCCAGTTACTTCAGTGAGAAGTTCATGACCAGCTGTCACCCTGAGAGCAAGTTGTATTATCTGTCTTGGCCTTTGTTTTATTTGGTGTGTGAGGACAGGTGCCTGTCTCATCTCAATAGCTGTATAACATGGTGGGTAATCAGTGAGCTGACACAGGCACCCGTGGAGATTTCCTTCCTCCACGGGTCCCAGGGGAGAGCAAGAGTGCAGCATGGGAAACCTGCCTTGGGCTTGTGGCTGTGCAGAGAACTGAGTGGCAGAGG